ATATATACATATATCTTCATTTATTACATTGTAATAATTAATTGATTTTTGGGTTTCTTGTTTATTTAGCTTTTAGGATTTGGTTAGGATCGTTTTATAGTTAACAAAATTGTACCTGCCCGCTATATATCTTAAGATCTTTTCGACTGGCTGACTTATAGCTATATACTCAGACGATTTCTGCTCAAGTTATAAGCTGAGAAAGCTGTTGCCCAGATAGCCGAGCATTATGGTCGATACGGCCAACGGGGCGACCTGTAGCTGACATGCAGTACTATTACCAGCCAGAATTTCGGCACGCTTACGCATACGTTCCTGCAATCGGAAGAAGAATAAGAATCAATAAGTATATAGTATCTGTGGTATAGGCATGTACATATATTTAAAGTGTCATGTGTATCTATATATAAGATCTGAAGATCCAATATTCAATAATACAAGCATCTTCTTTTACATAGCATGGATATCCATAGTACATCTATGTAGATAGTTGATCCATTATATTCATAGTGAGACTAAAGATATTAGTATCTTTCGTATCTTCGGGTATATATCTTAGATCATACAATATCTCATATACCTTAAGACGATACATCTATACATCTCTAATACAGCTTTAGTTTCTTCATATCTCAGACAATGTCTTGCCATCTGCCTGACTTACCTGATAAAGCTTGTCCTCGCCCGGCGGATCCAGACATTCGAATTCGCAACAGCGTTCGCCCACTCTGAAGTTTTTACAGAACTGTCGCAGGGAAAAGTGAATGGAAATAGTTATAGAGCTGGATATTATGGAACTGAAGATCGAACGCTTACGTAGGGCGGATCACAGTAGATGGCCTTGCACCACAGCGGCTCGGAATGATAGCAAACGCATAGGCTGCAAACGCCTGGCCCGGGCACGTACAGCATGCCGTGGTTCACTTTGTTGCCCTGAAAGTCCACGCAGTCCTCCTCCAGCGCAACTGCAGAGTAGAGAGCAAGGAAAAATAAATAGGAATAAAGAGCTCAATAGATGGTGGAAAAGTAACTTCTAGGTGGATGTCTGGGTTGGGAAAAGAGGGAGAGAGTGTGAGAGAGAGAAAGAGGGAGACAGAATGAGAGAGAGAGAGAGATCGAAGAAAGCCAAATCGCAAGCTTACTGTGTGAACTACAATATATTGTGTTATTCTTTATTGCAAAATCTTTATTATTATTCTATTTGCAAAATACTCGCTGTCGGTCAAAGTAGGCCTTGAACCATATTTGAAGTCTGGCAAAATGGAAGTCTGGCAACACCTTTTACGTGTCAAAGTAGGCTTTCACTAAAGATAGAAAGTCTGGCAACTCTATTTCACAGGCATCTACAGTTTCATTGCTCAAAGTAGGCCTTGAGGAACATCTCGAATGTTCTGGAAACAGGAAGAGACGATTTTACTAATCAAAGTAGGCCTCGACGCAAAATTCGGCCGAAAAGTTAAGGCACCCCCAGCCAGGCTCAGAAGCATTCAGTTTGTGCCTGCTCTCCGAGTAGAGCACATCAAAAAAATTCGGGAAAAACAAAAATAAAATAAAATTTTCCAAATTTTAAAGGCATCGGTAATTTTTTTCTGATCAAAGTAGGTTTCGGCGCAAAATTCGGTAAAAAGTTGAGGCACTCGCAGTCAGCATTAAAATCATTCAGTTTGTGCCTGCTCTCCGGGTAGAGCACATCAAAAAAATAATCGGGAAAAAATTATAAAATACAATTTTCCAAAATTTAAAGGCATCGACAATTTTTTTTTTTATCAAAGTAGGTTTCGGTGCAAAATTCGGTCAAAAGTTAAGGCACTCCCAGCCAGCCTCAGAAGCTTTCAGTTTGGG